ATGACTGAGGACATGAGTTGTTTGGTTTTCTGTTCCTGTGTTAGTTTGTTGAGGGTGATGGCTTCTGGCTTTATCCATGACCATGCAAAGGACATGATCTCATTAATTTTTGTGGTTGCATAGTATTCCATGTACCCCATTTTCTTTATCCAGTCTATCATTAAGGGACATTTGGATTGCTTCCAGTGCTGCAATAAACATAAGTATGCATGTGTCTTTATAGCAGAATGATTTTTATTCCTTTGGGTGTATAACCAGTAATGGGATTGCTGGGTCAAATGGTATTTCTAGTTCTAGATCCTTGAGGAATTGCCATGCCACATTGTCTTCCACAATGGTTAAACTAATTTATATTCCCACCAACAGTGTAAAAACATGCCTATTTCTCCACAGCCTCACCAGCATCTATTGTTTCTTGACTTGTTAATAAACACCCTTCTGACTGGCATGAGATAGTATCTCATTGTAGCTTTGATTTGCATTTCTCTAACAATCAGTGATGTTAAGCTTTTTTCATATATTTCTTGGCTGCATAAATGTCTTCTTTTGAGAAGTGTCTGTTCATATCCTTTGCCTAGTTTTTTCTGTTCATATCCTTTGCCCAGTTTTTTTTTCCTTGTAAATTTCTTTAAGTTCTTTGTAGATTCTGCATGTTAGACCTTTGTCATATGGATAGATTGCAAAATTTTTCTCCCATTCTGTACATTGCCTGTTTATTCTGATGATAGTTTATTTTGCTGTGCAGAAACTCTTTAGTTTAATTAGATCCCATTTGTCAATTTTGGCTTTTGGTGCAATTGCTTTTGGCATTCGTGTTGTGAAGTTTTTGCCCATGCCTATGTCCTCAGTGGTATTGCCTAGGTTTTCTTCTAGGGTTTTTAAGGTTTTAGGTCTTATATTTAAGTCTTTAATCCATCTTGAGTTAATTTTTGTATAAGCTATAAAGGGGGGGGGTCCAGTTTCAGTTTTCTGCATATGGCTAGCCAGTTTTCCGAACACCATTTATTAAATAAGGAATCCCCTCCCCATTGCTTGTTTTTGTCAGGTTTGTCAAAGATCAGATGGTTTTAGATGTGTGGCATTATTTCTGAGGCCTCTGTTCTGTTCCATTGGTCAATATACCTGTTTTGATACCAGTACCATGCTCTTTTGGTTACTGTAGACTTATAGTATAATTTGAAGTCAGGTAGCATGATGCCTCCAGTTTTGTTCTTTTTGCTTAGGATTGTCTTGGCTGTATGGGCTCTTTTTTGGTTCCATATGAAATTTAAAGTAGTTTTTTTCTAATTAAATGAAGAAAGTCAATGGTAGCTTGATGGAGATCGCATTGAATCTATAAATTACTTTAGGCAGTATGGCCATTTTCATGATGTTGATTCTTCCTATCCATGAGCATGGAATGTTTCTTCCATTTGTTTGTGTACCCTCTTATTTCCTTTAGCAGTGGTTTGTAGTTTTCCTTGAAGAGGTCCTTCACATCCCTTGTAAATTGTATTCCTAGATACTTTATCCTCTTTGTAGCAATTGTGAATGGCAGTTCATTCATGATTTGGCTCTCTGTTTGTCTATGGTGTATAGGAATGCTTGTGATTTTTGCACATTAATTTTGTATCCTGAGATTTTGCTGAAGTTGCTTATCAGCTTAAGGAGATTTGGGGCTGAGACGATGGGGTTTTCTAAATATACAATCATGTCATCTGCAAACAGAAACAATTTGATTTCCTCTCTTCCTATTCGAATACGCTTTATTTCTTTCTCTTGCCTGATTGCCCTGGCCAGAACTTCCAATACTATGTCAAATAGGAGTGGTGAGAGAGGGCATCCTGCCTTGTGCCAGTTTTCAAAGGGAATGCTTCCAGCTTTTGCCCATTCAGTATGATATTGTCTGTGGGTTTGTCATAGATATACCTCTTATTATTTTGAGATACGTTCCATCAATACCTAGTTTATTTAGAGTTTTTAACATTAATGGATGTTGAATTTTATCGAAGGCCTTTTCCGCATCTATTGAAATAATCATGTAGTTTTTGTCTTTGGTTCTGTTGATATGATAGATTATGTTTATTGATTTGTGTGTGTTGAAGCAGCCTTGCATCCCAGGGATGAAGCGGACTTGATAGTGGTGGATAAGTTTTCTGATGTGCTGCTGGATTCAGTTTGCCAGTGTTATTGAGAATTTTTGCATCAATGTTCATCAGGGATATTTGCCTGAAGTTTTTTTTGTTGTTGTTGTATCACTGCCAGGTTTTGGTGTCAGGATGATGCTGGCTTCATAAAATGAGTTAGAGAGAGATCCTTCCTTTTTAATTGTTTGTAATAGCTTCAGAAGGAATGGAACCAGCTCCTCTTTGTACCTCTGGTAGAATTCAGCTGTGAATTCATCCAGTCTTGGGCTTTTTTTGGTTGGTAGACTATTGATCACTGCCTCAACTTCAGAACTTGTTATTGGTCTATTCAGGAATTTCACTTCTTCCGGGTTTAGTCTTGGGAGGGTGTATGTGTCCAGGAATTTATCCATTTCATCTAGATTTTCCAGTTTATTTACATTGAAGTGTTTATAGTATTCTCTGATGGTAGTTTGCACTTCTCTAGGCTCAGTGGTGCTATCCTCTTTATCATTTTTTTATTGTGTCTCTTTCATTCTTCTCTCTTTTCTTCATTATTAGTCTAGCTGGTGGTCTATCTATTTTGTTAATTTTTTCCAAAAACAGCTTTGGGTTTCACTTATTTTTTGGAGGGTTTTTCTGTCTCTATCTCCTTCAATTCTGCTCTGATCTTAGTTATTTCTTGTGTTCCACTAGCTTTTGGATTTGTTTACTCTTGCTTCTCTAGCTCTTTTAATTGTGATGTTAGGGTGTCGATTTGAGATCTTTCTAGCTTTCTGATGTGGACATTTAGTGCTATAGATTTCCATCTTAACATTGCTTTAGCTGTTTCCCAGAGATTCTGGTACATTGTCTCTTTGTTCTTATTGGTTTCAGAGAACTTACTGATTTCTGCCTTGATTTTGTTATTTACCCAGGAGTCATTCAGGAGCAGGTTGTTCAATTTCCAAGTAATTGTGTGGTTTTGAGTGAGTTTCTTAATCCTGTTCTAATTTGATTGCACTGCGGTCTGAAAGACTGTTATGATTTCAGTTCTTTTGCATTTGCTGAGGAATGTTTTACTTCCAATTTTGTGGTTGATTTTAGAATAAGTGCCATGTGGCACTGAGAAGAATGTATACTCTGTTGATTTGGGTGGAGAGTTCTGTAGATGTCTGTTGGGTCCACTTGATCAAGAGCTGAGTTCAAGTCCTGAATATCCTTGTTAATTTTCTGACTCATTAATCTGTCTCATATTGACAGTGGGGTGCTAACATCTTCCACTATTATTGTGTGGAAATCTAAGTCTCTTTGTAAGTCCCTAAGAACTTGTTTTATGAATCTGGGTGCTCCTGTATTGGGTGCATATATATTTAGGATAGTTAGGTCTTCTTGTTGAATTGATCCCTTTATCATTATGTAGTGCCCTTCGTCTCTTTTGATCTTTGTTGGTTTAATGTCTGTTTTGTCAGAGACTAGCATTGCAACCCCTGATTTCTTTTGCTTTCCATTTGCTTGGTAAATTTTTCTCCATCCATTTATTTTGAATCTATGTGTGTCTTTGCATAGGAAATGGGTCTCCTGAATACATCACACCAAAGGTTCTTGACTCTTTATCTAATTTGCCAGTCTGTATCTTTTAATTGGGGCATTTAGCCCATTTTCATTTAAGGTTAGTATTGTTATGTGTAAATTTGATCCTGTCATCATGATGCTATGTAGTTATTTTGCACACTAGTTGATGCAGTTTCTTCATAGTGTCATTGGTCTTTATATTTTGGTATGTTTCTGCAGCAGCTGGTACTGGCTTTTCCTTTCCATATTTAGTGCTTCCTTTAGGAGCTCTTGCAAGGCAGGCTTGGTGGCGATGAAATCCCTCAGCATTTGCTTCTCTGGAAAGGATATTATTTCTTCTTCGCTTATGAAGCTTAGTTTGGCTGGATATGAAATTCTGTGTGGAAAATTCTTTTCTTTAAGAATGTTGAATATTGGCCCCTACCTCTTCTGGCTTGTAGGGTTTCTACAGAGAGGTCTGCTGTTATTCTAATGGTCTTCCCTTTGTCGGTGATCTGGCCTTTCTCTCCAGCTGCCCTTAACATTTTTTCCTTCATTTTGACCTTGGAGAATCTGATGATTATGTATCTCGGGGTTGATCTTCTTATGAAGTATTTTAGTGGTGTTCTCTGTATTTCCTGAATTTGAATGTTGGCCTGTCTTGCTAGGTTGGAGAAGTTCTTCTGGATAATATCCTGAAGTGTGTTTTCCAGCTTGTTTCCATTCTCCCCGTCTCCTTCAGGTACTCCAATCAATTGTAGATTCAGTATTTTTATATAGTTTCGTATTTCTTGAAGGCTTCATTTGTTCCTTTTCATTTTTTTCCTCCATTCTTGTCTGCATGCCTTATTTCAGCAAGACGGTCTTCAAACTCTGATATCCTTTTTTCTGCTAGGTCAATTCGGCTATTGGTACTTGTATATGCTTCAGAAAGTTAACATGCTATGTTCTTCAGCTCCATCAGATCATTTATGTTCCTCTCTAAACTGGTTATTCTAGTTAGCAGCTCCTCTAACTTTTCATCAAGGTTCTTAGCTTCTTTGCATTGGATTAGAGCATGCTCCTTTAGCTCAGCAGAGTTTGCTATTAATCATCTTCCGAAGCCTACTTCTGTCAATTCATCCATCTCATCCTCTGTCCAGTTCTGTACCTTCCCTTGAGAGACACTGCGATCATTTGGAGGAGAAGAGGAGCTCTGGCCTTTTGAGTTTTCAGCATTTTTTTCATTGATGCTTTCTCATTTTCATGAGTTTGTCTAGTTTTGATCTTTGAAACTGCTGACCCTTGGATGGGGTTTTGTGGGAACTTTTGTTGTTGTTGATGCTTTTGTTGCTTTCTGTTTGTTTTTCTTTCAATGGTCAGGTCCCTTTTCTGAAGGGCTGGTGCTGTTTGCTGGGGGTTTACTTCAGGCCCTATTCATTTGGTTCGCTCCTGTGCCTGGAGATGTCACTCAAGGAGGCTACAGAACTACAAAGGTGGATGCCTGCTCTTTCCTCTGGGATCTCTGACCTCCAGGGGCACCAACCTGATGCCGGTAAGTATAGGGTGTCTGACAACCCCTACTGGGTGGCACGGGGAACAGGACTCATTTAACAAAGCACTTTGACTGTCCCTTGGTGGAGAGGGTGTGCTTTGCTAGGGGAAACCCACTCATCTGGGCTGCCCAGATTCTTCAGAACTAGCAGGAGGAAAGACTGAGTCTTCTGGTCTGCAGAGACTGCAACCACCCGTCCCACTAGGGCTTCGGGCCCAGGGAGATCAGAGTTCTGTCCCTGAGCCTCTGGCTGCAGTTGTTGGAGTTCCTGCAGGGAGGCCCTGCCCAGTGAGAAGGGATGGGTCAGGGTCAGGCCTGGAGAGGCACTCTGGCTGTAGTCTGCCACAGCTGGTGTGCTGGGTTATAGGGGACACCTCTTAGGACCAAGCCGTTTCCAGCCTCCCTGGCCTCAGCAGAGGAAAAGTACAGCCTGGAGCTGTAGAGATGGATGACGCCCTTCCTTTGCCTAGGGAGCTTAGTGTGTCAGGCAGCTCTCCGTCCCAGTGCTGGCTGCCGCCCTTCCCCCAAGGAGCTCAAATGGCTTAGACAGCAGGCAGCTGCAGCTGTGGTGCTGGTTGTCCCTTCCCGCAGAAACTTAGCAGGCTTAAGCAGATTCTAGCTGAAAGGGTGTTAAGAATCTGCATGGCTCCAGGGTTGGGACTCCAGGCCCCAGTGGCATGGGTTCATGAGTGGCATCTTCTGATACATGGGTTGCATAGTTCCGTGGAAAAACCACGGTTTCCCTGGCTGGGTAGCATGCTCACTCACCACCTCCCTTGGCTGGGGGATTCCCCTGCCCTGTGTGGCTCTCAGGTGGGCAGCTGCACCACACTGCTCTTCCTTCCTCTGCGCAGGTAATGCCAGTAGTCTAGTCTGCTCTGATGAGAGAAGCTGATTACCTCAGTTGCTGGTGCAAGATTCACATGCTATTACGGTTTTTTTCAATGGGAGCCTTTGATCGCCACTGCTTCTAGTCGGCCATTTTGGCCCCGCCCCCAACTAAGAGCTTTTTAACATTAAACTCTCTATCATATATTTTCAAATAGGCAATTAAAAGAAGAAAAATAATTTTTCAAAAGGAAAACAGTTGTCGCAGACCTTTAGTTAAGACGCGCATTTGAATGACCAGGGAAATTCTAAAAGACATTTATTGTGGCTTTAATATTTGATACAAGGACAGAATTCTTTTTAAAAACCCCTTATATTCTATAATTGTGGCACCTTCGTAGACTAGAAAAATAACTATAAAATCTCCAGGCGCAGAAAAAAGAATAAATTCTAGTGTTTTCAAATATCCCATGCAAGACATGATACAATGTTTGAAGAAGAAAAATGATCTCCCAGCATTTGGGAAGTAGAAAGGTGGTGGGTGGAACCAGCCACAGTCATGACTCAGGTGGCCTTGACTGCCTCTTAGAATTTCGGGATATTTGTGCTCTGTGCCTAATGACCACAGTGTCTTAGGCTGCATACCTTTTACCTGTTTTTTCACTGTGTGTCAACTAATTTTTGAGTAAGAAACAAGATAAATCTCTGTAAATTGTATCTGTTAGAGCCTGACTCTAGGAAAGAAGCACCCCCTTCACAATCCCCTTCACAATCACAGTTCCTGAGCATAGCACTTATATCTGCATGAGGGCTTTCTGTAGCCCTGAGAGTCCAAGTGTGGGGCTCCCTGGGAATGCTGGAGAGCTAATGCTCCCTAGGAACAGCTTCTAACCAGTAACTGGCAGGAGTCAGTAGGTTAATACCCCAGATCGTTTGTCACTTGGTTGGACCTCTCTCAGGCATGTTCTATATTGTCTCCCAGAGGTCACCAGCAGAACTGATTCCTGGTTGCCCACAGCAATAATCTACTGAATACAAACTCTTCCCTGGCCTCCTTCTCTTTCCTGTCTCATTCCTCCCCTCTCTTACCAGTGCTGCCTGGGATCACCTGCTAAATAAGCTACTTGAATTCCCTTTTATGTAGGTAAGTATTGTTTTTGGAGATCAACCGGAGATAAGACTTGCAGGCTCCGGAACTCCTGATAACATAGGCACCTACATGGACCAAATACACAGCCCTTTCATATGATGCAGGTACCACCAGGTTAAATTTGGATTAAAGTGATGTATTAGTCCATTCTCACACACTATAAAGATACTACCCAAGACTGGGTAATTTATAAAGGAAAGAGGTTTAGTTGACTCAATTTACATGGCTGGGGAGGCCTCAGGAAACCCACAATCATGGTGCAAGGGGGAACAAGGACCTTCCTCACATGGCAGCAGGAGAGAGAGAAAAACGAAGGAGGAATTTCCAAACACTTATTAAACCATCAGATCTCATGAGAACTCACTCACTATCATGAGAACAGCATGGGAGAATCTGTCCCCCATGCCCAATCCAATCACCTCCCTTCCTTGACACATGGGGAGTACAGGTCTCTTCCTAGACACGTGGGAATTACAATTCAAGATGAAATTTGGGTGGGGACACAGAGCCAAATCATATCAAGTGAAAATCCACATTTAGCCTCTATTAACAGGAGTGAGCCTATTATCCCAGCACTTTGGGAGGCCAGGGCTGAAGGATCACCTAAGTCTAGGAGTTTGAGGCCAACCTGGCCAACATAGTGAGACTGTATCTACAAAAAATAATGAAGAAGAAGAACAAGAAGAAGAAGAAGAAGAAGAAGAAGAAGAAGAAGAAGAAGAAGAAGAAGAAGAAGAAGAAGGAGGAGGAGGAGGAGGAGGAGGAGGAGGAGGAGGAGGAGGAGAATAATAATTATTAGCTGGGTGTGGTGGTGTGGACCTGTAGTCCCACCTGCTTTGGAGGATCACTTGAGCCTAGGAGTTCAAGGCTGTAATGAGCTACATTTGTGCCACTGTACTCCAGGCTGGGTGAGAGAGGAAGACCCTCTCTCTATTAAAAAGAAAATAACAAAAGACTAGTTTGGTTCTGTTCCTACCTAATCACTGTTTTCTTGTTGAGCTTTCTTACCTTCATCTGAATTAACATGTGCTTTACTGATGTCTTTCAATTAAATTGTTTTTTTTTTCTATAACTTTGAATTTAGGGTGACTATTTACTGTTCATAGAGGATTTTTTTAGATATAAACTGCACAGGAATTTATGGTGAGTAAAGTAAAATATAGCCTGAACCCCCATGCCCTGGGCCTTTCATATGTGCATATTCACATAGCAAGTAGCAAGAGTAAGCACAGAGCAATCAAACACCATAGCAAGCACAAAACCAATGGCTGACTTAGAAAGAACCCTTGGATTTTTATGCTCTGGGTTTCACTCAATTCACAGTGATGTTTTTTAGCCCTTAGTGATATAATCAAATTAACACATGCCTACAGTGTCCATTAGAAACCACTGGTGGGACCAAGGCAAGAGAGAAGGAAGGAAGGAAGGAAGGAAGGAAGGAAGGAAGGAAGGAAGGAAGGAAGGAAGGAAGGCAGGAAGGCAGGAAGGCAGGGAGGGAGGGAAGGAGGGAGGGAAGGAGGAAGGGAGGGAGGGAAGGAGGGAGGGAAGGAGAGACGGAAGGAGGGAGGGAGGGAGGGAAAGGGAAGGGAAAGAGGAAAAATCCAAAGAATGCAAAGAAAAGCAAGTCTTGGGAAGTAAATAAGTTGCATGTATTCACTTACAGAATCCTTGCTACATCTGTATAAAATTATTATTATTATCATCCTATTTTATAGATGAGGAAACCAAGGCACAAAAAAGTTTTTTTAAATGGTCCAAGCTGTAAGACCTAATAAGAAGCAAAGCCTGGATTTGGACCAAAGCAGCCTGACTACAAAGCTACATTGTGCACACCCTGAAGGTGGAAAAGAGCAGTTTCCAAGTCTATGTTAAGCTAAGCCCAGAAATCTTAGTTACTTAGTCACCCCATTATGTGGGTCAAGGTCAGGTAAAATTTTCTTTCTACTTTCATGAAGAAAGTTTGGAAAGGAAATTAAGGGTGCCAGTGTCAGAAAACTAGGGGTAAACTGTTACTTTGGTTATCATGGAGAGTTAAGAAATTCTAAATTACATGAAGTCACCAAGTCCTGAAAATATTCAAGCAGTCCTAGGAAGGATACTCAGTGCGATGGAGAGCTAAGGACTCCTCCTAACAGCCATGGAGAGGCCATGATGGAAGCAGATTCTCCAGCCCCTGTTAAACTTTCCAATGATTACACCCCCAGGTGACAGTTTGACTGCAACCTCCTGAGACCATGAGCCAGAACTGTGCATTTAAGCCACTCCCAAATTTCTGATTCACAGAGACTGTGAGGCAATAAATATTTATTGTTTTAAGCCACTAACAGTGTGGTAATCTCCTGTGCAGCATTAGTTAACTAATATAGATTTTGGTGCTGAGAGTGGAGTTTGAACCTGTGTTAATTTACTATTGTTGGCATAGCAAAGTACCGCAGAGTAGGTGGTTTAAAGAAAGATTTATTTTCTCACAATTCTGGAGACTAGGAACCTGAGATCAAGGTGTCAGCAGATCGGTTTCCTCTGAAGCCTCCCTCCTTGGCTTGCAGATGGCCGCCCACCCCCTGTGCCTTCCCAAGATCTGCCTTCTGTGTGTCTGTATCATAATCTCCTCTTGTTGTAAGGTCACCAGTCATATTGAATTAGTGTTGTCAAATGCCAGGGGTTTGGCCTAGGTCCGGTTGCTCACCACAACGAAAGTCGATCACTGAGAAAATAAGCGTTGCCAAGGAAGAAAGGCTTTATTGCAGGTGACATCAGCCAGGAGGTGGGGGACAAGTCTCAAATCTGTTTCTCCAACCAATTAAAGTTGAGGGTTTATAGAGGAGTCGGTCAACAGACAGCAGGTGCTCAGACAAGTGACCTGGCGTCTTATTGTCTGGACGCAGTGATCTAGGAAGTTTCAGCTTTTTGATACTATCTGGGATGAAAATTGGATTGGTTTCTCTAGGGCCCACCCTAATTACTTCATCTTAACTTAGTAATCTTTTTAAAGACTGATTCTCCAAGTACAATCATATTCTGAAGTACACAGAGTCAGGATTTCAACATGTGAATTCTGGAGGAACAAAATCTAACCCCTAACAGAACCCATTCCATCTCTGCCACTTACTAAATGTCAGGTTTTAAGAAGTTTTGTGATTTTCTCTATAAAATGTAAATGATAGTACCCAACTCGGAGGACTGTTTTGAACATTTATATTTAAGTCACTCAATACTGCGTCTCGCACATAATAGGTGAGCTATAAGTATTTGCTGACCCTGACACTCAACGAAACAGCACTCTGTCAACCCATTTTAAAGCATCTGATTGTCAAGCCCACTGCAAACCTTGTTAAACCAATCTCTTCCTTTTAAACCAGACTAGTGAAATTTTACTGTGCATTTTTCCATGTGTTTAATTGCACAGAGGAAGCATTAATGGAAATAAACCTTAGAGGTAGAAAATAATTAGAAAATTTTTGCCAAGAAAAAAATGTTGTTGCTTTAATTTAAACTTTAATTTAGCTCTCTGGAAAGGGCTTTTGCTTTCTCTTATTTGAATTTTATTTTAATAATTCACAGGCAGTGCTGTTGACATGCTCTCATGACCAACGTCAAATTTAATTTATTTTCACCAGCCCAAAGCGCAGATGCCTGCTATTATCATGGCTGCTGCTGTGCTCAACTGGTTCTTGCAATAGATGAACATAGAAATAAATTGTCTGCGGAGAGTTTTCTGTGCCATGTTTTATACCCTACTGTGACTCAAGAGATGATAACTTTTATAAAAATTTTGTACAATTTATATAGTTAATTAAAATAGAACTGAGCTGGGCACAGGGGCTTGCACCTGTAATCCCAGCACTATGGGAGGCGGAGGCAGGAGAATCACTTGAGCCCTGGAGTTCAAGACCAGCCTGGGCAACATAGTGAGATCCATCTGTACAAAAAATTTAAAAATGTTAACTGGGTGTGGTGGCATACACCTGTAGTCCCAGCTATTTGGGAGCTGAAGTGGGAATATTGCCTGAGCCCAGGAGTTTGAGGCTGCAGTGACCCATGATTGTGCCACAGCACTCCAGCCTGGGTGACAGAGTGAGACTTGATCTCAAAATAAAAATAAAATAAAAAAAACTAGATGCTTATCTCTCTCACTTCTAGGTTCGTGACTTCTTAGGTGTGACCACAATTGAAGTGACCTGACCCGAGTGTCCATCTCTTCCACAAGGAATCCATATGAAAGAAGTAACTGCTCTCAGGAACAACGTTTATAAGGAAGACTGACACACACACACACATAAAAAGCTTGCTAATTATTTTTTAAAGGATTACAACACAAGTCTCGTGGTATTTTTTCTTACACATTCTGTACCATATAAAATGAAGGGAGAGAAAGTGCCCAGTGTGGAGTTCTGTGGTTTCTCCTGCATCCCACTAGGCTACCTGGGAGCATCACAGAGAGCATAATCTTGAGTTAGCAGAAATGGGGAGAACTAGGCAAATTTAGTGTTGTGGAGAGGAAATAATGTAAAGAGCTCCCATCTTCCTTCACTTGAGAGCATGGGGCTGGGTTGTGGGACAATGTGAGGGAAGACGGAAGAGTAGTAAAAGCTTGGAGCAGCTGCTTTGCAAAATGGAATGATAGGGAGCATTGAGGACAAGAGAAATGATTGCTGAGCAGCGTGGTGGCCCTGGTGAGGTTGGAGGCTTATTTTTAGAAGGCTGCCAAGCAGTTGAGGACGGGAGATTTTCCTCGACAACTTGGTGTAGAATTGGGCCCACATTAAAGGAGACAGGGCAGAAGCAGAGAGCACAGTGAGGGAGCAAGAATGGCCAGAGTTGAAGATCCTGGTTGCAGAGCCTTGACCCTCCCTCCTGTGTGGCACTTGGTGAAGTCAGGGATGGTTTTAGTAGAGAACATGTGCTAACTTTTCTCATCCCCCAGGTGTGAGAACTGTTATGCCATGAACAACAGCATCACACATTGGCTGAGCCAAGCCTTCCTGACTGGGCATCAGTGGTTTTCTAAGCTAGTATCACTGCTACTTTGCCTCATGCATACAAATCTAAGTTCAAAACCTATCTTTCTTGTTCAGTGACTCCATTTTTAGCTACTTGATCCACATACTTGAGAGCTTGAGGGATGGAGAATCTTGAGGTCAAAGAAGGCTAAAGCAACCATGTGGAGCAGGCATCCTCCACCTCCTCTTTTCTCCACCAATCACAATAACATGCTAGGATAAAGAAAGAAAGAAACTAGAAAGTGGTCTAATACAACCTTGAGTGAGGTACTCTTTGAGCCTCAGTTTTCTTTCCTACAGAATACAAACTTTAGTTAATAGCAATCGCCTATTCCTAGAGAGGGTGATTATTCAATGGCATATCAAGCACTTGGCACTATTGCAGCACACTTAGTTGGTGCTCAATAAATGGTTGCTATGTATTAGGTAACAACCAGACAATGTGCGCTATATACCATTTTGTGCAATTTATGTTGTCTTTGCCTGTGTTCTGCAAAAGCAGATTCTGAGACAACAGCTTATCAATATAGCTGAAAACTCCTGTACTAGGGAGTACAATTCCAGGGAAGCAGAAGTGAGGGAAAAGAGTAGGGCAGAGAAGACAACAGAGCAAGTATGAGTTAGGGCACTGTAGAGATAGCCGCTGCTTCATAATAAAACAAACTAACTGTACTATTTCATGGATCCTGCTTCTGAAAGGCCTTAAGGGCTACTGAGTCTCAAGACAGTCTGTTGGCAGGGTGGCAATGGAAAAGGAGGAGAATTTATCCACTAGCTTTCATCTCCCACTGATCAAAAGTCTACCCCATCAGGCATTAACTTTTCTGCACCTTGCCATGCACCCCTGTGAGTGTCAGGCAGGTCTTGATGTATCTTAAGCCTCAGTGGCAAGATGGAAGACAGCCCTGAATTGAAGACAAGAGGATCAAGCTGTGGGCTTGAGACAAGGCACTGCCAGGCAGCTCCTGCACAATGTCTGCTGTGGCCCTGCAGTGATGAGAATCTACCTAAAGTTGGTCTCCAGAGTGAAAGCCAGGAAGCAAGAGTCCTGGAGACAGGTGAGCCTGGGATGATCTGAAGAGAAGCTAAAAGTTCCTTTCACACCTGGGCTTTGAGAACCTCTTTTGAATATATTGAATTATATATTTCCACTTAAATATCTGGGAAATGAAGATATAGCTCCAACCTTCGGGAGTTCCTAACATTCAAGCTTTCTTTTACTTAGCAGGTGACCTAAAGTGTATCAAAAAGCTATTGGTAAAAAAAAATCAAGATTTAAGTACTAGAGGGATATTTAACAAATCAAATATTTTGTAAGAAAAAATCTCTGTACTATGAATAATTGCCCTTTAACCATTCTATTGTGATATGTTGGATTTTCTACTGAGAAAATGCTCTTGCACAATATCTTTCTTTTTTAGACTACTTTGATTCAGTTGGCTATTAGATTCTGTTGCATTGGGAATTCTTAGCATTTTCTGCTTGAAATCTGAAGCCTATTTGTTACACAATATGTCTGACTCACATATCCAGCCTCAAACTACTTGAGAGAAGAGGAAGTTCCTTATATGGTTGTACTCCTCCACGGCATCCCTAGAGGATAACAAACTCTCAATATTTGTTGAGTAGGAAACAGCCTAAATGCCAGGCATTAGATGAATGTTAAATAAATGATGGGGCAACCATACAATGGAATTTCACATAGCACAGTTCTAAAAAAATAAGAAGTTTTTTCTAATACAGTTATAAGAAGAAGGAAGACAGTTATTTTAGGTAAAATAAACACATTGCAGAAAAATATGTATAAAAATCCTATTTTGATTGCATGTTTATACACACATGTAGGTGGATATGCATATTTAGAAATCTAGAAGGTAAGATTACACAATAAACTGACAAAGGCTATTATCTCCAGTGATGAGATTGGTAGAAGGGGAAAGAATTTTCTCCTTTCACTTGTACTGTTTGTGTTTTTTACAACAAATATTTGTTACTTGTGTAATCTAAAAATGAACAAGTAAAAGAAATAATGCCTTGAATTAATCATGTGTATTTGATGATGCAGTAGAAAAACAGGCAACTGGATACAAATAAATACTTAGTTTTGACACTGAATTAGTTCAGGTACCATCTCTCATTTCATTCTGCATGGAAAAATTGCTACTTCCATTTTTTTTTAAATCCCTATGAGAGCCATTGGAACCTCTGCATTCTCAACTTCCCCCAAAATAACAGTGTTCTTGGCTGACTTGCTTGGCTATATATCATTGTATTTACAGCATCATCCTTTCTTTCGCCGAGAGTTCTGTTTACAATTCTAATGAAGAGATAAAAACCTTGTAACCAATATAGGTCACTCAGCTATGCATAACCGGGCTGGTTGTCTTTGCTTTTTTTAATTCTCAGATTTTCACTTCCTAAATCTGCTCTAAATGGTAATATTTTTGTGCACTGCAAACACGTAATAATATAGTATTCAGATACTCTTGCATAAATGGTCTCTACATCCTAATCAATCCCACATAGCAAAGTATGATAAATACATATTTAAAGTCCTTAGAAGTGGATAAGGTATTTCAGGCTGTGTTCATTTCTCTAATCCTTTTGTGACTTCTCTCATGATGCTTAGAGAATTACCCAAAAAGGAGAGAACCCAGCTTTTCCCAGGAAGGGCACAGAAATGGGATAAAACATAGCTGTTTCCTGGATTTGCATTACCAACCTTGTCACTCGGACCCTCCGACGTTTCCTAAGCACCACCAAAGAACCATCTTTGGATCTCAGCTCACCATTCTTCATTCCCCCTTATTTATCACTCCTTTTCACCTCACAATCTTCATTCCCAAACCACCAATTACATATAAAGAGTAAATGTGTTAGAATGTCAGAACATTTATCTTAGGTATCAGAGAATCCTTTGGAAAAATTTAGGAAATTCATGACATCAAGGAAGGCTACATGGGTCCTGTAGAAAGAAGAGAAGGATTAAAGACAGCCCTCTGCTAGCAAAATGCCAAAGAGCCTAACATCTGATTTAGGAGGAACATTTTGGTATATTAAACACGACCGAACAACACACAGCCCATAAAAAATCCCAAGCAATAAAAGCCGACAACAATTTGAAGGAACCAATATTTATTACCATAGAACCACTATGTCCTCAGACTTTTGACACTCACAACTTTGCTTTTCTAAAGGAAACAATAATGCAAAGAGTGTGGTCATAACCAATGAGCAGATTTACCCTTTAGTTACAGAAGACCTATAAACCTACATGGAAAAAAAATTGTTATTTTTTGCCATCTTCTGAATGAGATTTAACATTTATTTTGATAATTAATTTAGGCAACAAATGGCAATTATCTTATTAGAATCCATGACTTTGGAGCCAGTACAGATATTTTTATATCACATCACAGTTGTTGCAGGGGTCTTGAAACACTGTTCACATTTACCACTATTCAAAATTATGGTAGTTGATTGATTTGCCACTAGACCTCATTAATTAATATGTAAATAAGAAATCAACATATTACAATGCCATAAATTTTATATTTTGATACTTGTATTTTAGTATAATTGGCTTCCTTTGCAATTCTGCATGTTTTACTTTTACTGTAAAAATACGATTCTGAAAAGGGATCGACAGACTTCAATGGACTTCAGAGGCATGAGAGAACCAGTTAAGACCAGAAAAACCAGCCAACCAAGTTTGGCCAAAATTGTTCACCCATGCCACAGTAATCTTAATACTGTTGTTTTGAGCCATTAACTTTGGGGGTGTTTGATTAAATCACAAAAAAATAACTGATACATGTCGCTACTACTATTTATTTAATATTTTTTCTCTAAATCAACTTTTTCCTTTAAATAAATCATTGCTTAAACAGTCTTTATTGCACCACAGCAAATAGAAAAACATTTTTATTTGGCTCAGATAGAAGCAAACTAAAAACAAATACGAGGAAAACATTAAGCATTGCTACTAAATTTTGGCTAGATAGATAAATGTTGTCTGGGAAGGCTCTTTATTAAATAAAAAAAGAGATGACTAAGTGCTGGAGAGTGACAAAGATACATTGCCTCCCAAGGGAGACCTTCACCTTGATAAAGAAGGTCCAAGAAAGAAGTGTGTGATTCAACCTTATTTCATCTCCTGCTCCTTTTCCTCTTATAAGCAGGAATCTCAGTGGGTGGTCTTGGCCCACATTTTGGAAAGCATTGATGTCATCAGACTTGCAGAAAAATGGTATCTTTATGTAGATGTATTAATTCATCCTCACACTGCTATAAAGAACTGCCTGAGTCTGGGTAATTTATAAAGAAAAGAGGTTTAATTGACGTACAGTTTCTCATGGCTGGGGAGGCCTCAGAAAACTTACAATCATGGTGGGAGGAGAAGCTGGCATGTCTTATGTGGCAACAGGCAAGAAAGAGCGTGTGAAGGAGGAACTGTCAAACACATATAAAACCATCAGATCTCCTGAGAACTCACTCACTATGATGAGAACAGCACGGGTGAAACAGCTCCCATGATCCAATTACCTCCTACCAGGTCCTTCCCTCAACACGTGGGGATTACAGAGATTACAATTCAAGATGAGATTTTGGTGGGGACACAGAGCCAGACCATATCAATAGATGAGCGCTTTATATCATAATATGAAAATGAAATGGCATACCTCTGAGAATGCTTGGGCCTCACTGTAGACATTCACCCAGACTATGACTGTGAGGGCTCTGGAATACTGCAAACTGACAAGTTTGATAACATGGGTAGGAACACTGAGGCCCAATGAGATTAGACATTGACCAGGGCCATTCAGGGAATCAGAGGCAAAGCCTCAGGTGTAAAAAAATAATTTTGAATAATTTCACTCCTGTCACCAGAGGACAGAGAACATAGCTTTCAAAATTATATAGACATTCAGATCTCATGTGTTAAATTAGGGAGCTGGTATAAAAGACCCAGAATCCACCCCACCCCAAGTTCTACCTTTCTATGAACCCATGAGTTTCAATGCTGTAGCACAAATAACCCAAATAATTCACTAAGGAATAATAAAGGAAGAGGGTAAGGAATTAAAGAACATTGACTTACACATGGAGAAAATTATTTGGTTTTCACTCTCTTCCATCCCTCTGCTTTGGTCAAGGTGAAGTGTTTTGCATTAAGCCCAGCACATATAACAATAAATGCCATCTATAGTTAATATCGAAAATGATAATATTAAATAGCAGAGCAGGTTAAGAACTTGGACTCAGAATGTGAATTTTGTCCCCCTGCCCATCCTAAATTTCTTAGCCTGACAACTGAATTTACTTCTCTTTGCCTCAATTTCTTCAACTGTAAAATGTGCATTAAAAAGTATTTGCATCAAAGGAAGATTAAAGGAGGTAATACATGAAAGTATTTAGAATGCTGTCTAGTACCTAGTAAATATACTGCACAGCAATAACAAGATTGCATAAGTAATCAACAAACTTTAACCCACGATGATCATAATAATGATAATTAAATAAATCAATGTATCAACAGCAAACCATTGTTTAGAAAGAGACTTTGAGTAAACTTCTCCCTCTAAAACAAATTCTCACTATTCTTTTATCTGTCAAACCTGGAACCATGACATTGTCTTTTGGATTCATATTATGATTAATTCCAGAAACATATGTCCAGAGAATACATGGTTTTTGCTACTGCTCATCATTTTTACTTTGTGACAACATTTTAATCCATGATGATGGATATGATCCACCAGTGCAGATAAAATGTATATGAGAATTTTGAGAGTGTGAAAATATTTAAGATTTTCCTCACCCTCACCACACTTCTCTCCCTGTTACTCAGCTCCTTTTCCCTTCTATATCCCTATGATAATCTGCAATGTATCTACGTTCTAGCTCCAAGAGCAACCCTGGCATTTGAATAATATTCATGCATGCCATGCTATTTTGGTAAAATTCATTTTCCAAAAACAGCATTATAAGAAAGTGAGGCCAAAAAGAACTCACTGTTCTCTCTCACACTGGCACACTGAGGTGTCTGCTTAACCTGCCTGTGGGCTCAGGTATTTCAAACCATGGTACATTTTTTTCTCTTTTGCTCTAAATGGCATCACAACGTTAGCCTGTTGCCAAGTCGGACTTAAATTAAACTAAGGTATGCAAAAAGATGATACTGTTTCTCTAGGTCCTAGTGTGACATTAGGTAGGTTAATGGGTTGCTATGGTGATCATTTTTAGCAACAAAAATGAATAATGGTAAAGAGAACATGTTTTAGAGTCAGATTTTTTAAAGTTCAAAATCACATTATGTCACTTGTTATATGTTTGGCTGACTGAGCAATTTACTTGGCCTTTCCTGGTACATGTTCTCATGGGTAAAATGATCCAAATAATACCTATCTTGGGAAATTATTATCCTAATTAGTTCTCAGAATAACTCTGTAGTGTAGGTATCACTAGGACCATTTTATAGACAAGTCATATACTTTGCCCAAAGTCACAAGGCTAGTTAATGGCACAGCTGAGAGACCCAAATCATGATTTCTGGGGGCTAACTAGGTTCAGCTAGGTGGTTTTCACGTAAGGGTACTCATGCAGCTGCAGTCAGATGTTAATCGAGCTAAAGTCATCTCAAAGGCTTCCTTACACACATGCCTGATTTTGATGCTGGCTCTTGGCTGGGACTTCAGTCTGGCACTATCAGCCAAAGTAGCCACATGTGATCTCATCATGTGGTCTGGGCCTCCTCATAGCATAGTGGCAAGTTTCCAAACCTCACAAGCAAAGCAGCATCAATTTCTGTTCATTGAAAGGAAGTCACTAAAGCTGGTCTATATTCAAACACCTTGTATTCAAGATGACAGTAGATTAATAGCTTCAAAGTGCTGATGGAAAATATGTGAATCCTAGAATTATATATGTAGCTAAACTGATATCAAATCGTAGTTTTCTTTTTTAAACAGATCCAATTTAGGATGTTTAAAATTGCTCATGTAATTTTTTCAGTAAGACATCAATATCTCTTAGTTTATTGTTTTGTTGTTGTTGTTGTTGTTAGCAGGTTTTGTGACTTAGCATGAAATATGTTTTATCAACACAGGAAGGTAGAAAATAAAGAACAACAAAGAGAACAGAGGTATAAAATAATAAAGATAAAAGCAGAAAGCAGTAAGATACAAAACATAACAAAAATGCAACATAGTTAACTAAATATGTATATTTTGAAGACTACTCAAACACTATGAACCTTTGGCAAGTATGAGCCTAGAAATGACACAAGGGGCAACTAGAAGACAACTCTGAAAGGCAGGAAGGCAAAGGAGTCTGATTAGGAGCTCCAGAACTGGGGGAAGAACAC